TACTGAGCTACATCGGGGTGGGCAATAATTTTTGCCCAGGGGCCACTTCAAAAATTTTTGAAGTAGCCTTGGCCCATCCCAGAAGGGGCAGGGCCTAAATGGGAAGAGGTGGGGCTACCCCACCCCCAAACCATGATTGGTCTGGGGGTAGCGGAGCTCCTTTGCCCCCCCTTCCCACTAGGCACCCATGCCCTGGAAGAGGCTTGGCACACTCCCCCACTCCCAAGCCAATCAGGTGTCTCTCTGGGTGGAGGATCTGGAGGAATGACCCTGGATGGAGTCCAGCAGAGTATGGTAAGAAGTAGCCCAGGGCGGGAGATTGTATCCTAAGGAAATCAGCGTGTTGCGGTGGGAGTCCCCACTGGGCAAGCAGTAACCCGCACCACTGCTAATAGGGTGCAGGGCTAGGACCCAGTGGAGTAGGGAGGGCCCAAGTCCCCCTACCACCTCCTCAATCCTCCAACCCATGCGGCCTGCACCCTCTTATTCCTCACTTCTTATTCCTGATACAGAGGCAGCAAGCAGGGAAACAACTAGTCACTTACATCCCTAGCCCCAGGGCTTCCTCCCAGGTTATAGTGATTTTACCCTCTTGATCCATTCTGATCCCAGCTCTTCAGCTGGACTACTAAGTAGTTCAGACCCCCTTCCTGGGTTTCATTGCTGTCCAACTGTGTACTTCCCCGGTGGCCTATGGGGGAGGACCAAGGCCTGTTCACCACTATGATTCCCAGCACAGGGACCCTAAGAGTAACAGCCATGTGAAATCATGTCCCTTTAGCTAAAACTTTCAGTTCTCTCTGCCACTACGCGTCAGCTCCAGCCTACACCAAAGTTTCACCCTTACCTCAGGGCTCTTCTTCATTCAGGTCCAGCATCCAGTCAGAAGTTCATTCTCACTCTCCCAGTTCCTGCCATGCCAGCACTGAGCTGCAGGTGTGGTGCTGCAGTTCCCTTTGGCCAGCTAAGAAAACCACATACACTCCTCTGGCTCAGGCAAGTACTGCCTGTCTCTAACTCTACAGCTTTTTTTTTTTTTTTTTTAATATAGCCCTTCCGGGGCCTGATTGGCTGCTTGCTAGTGTCTCTCCCTCCAGCCTTTCCCTCATTGATTACCCACTATGCCATCTCTCTAAGGCACTTGGAGGACTTAGTTCCATTGCTCCCTCAAATGGGAGATCCTGTAATGTAGACTGGACCTCTGGAGGAAGACTCGAGGCTTGAAGTCATGAAAACCAGCACATAGCAACCTCTGTCAAGAGAGTGTGTGCCACTGACTCCGCGGAATCTAGGGCCACCTGAAGGGATGTTCTAGCTATTGTGTGGCCCTCCTCCAGTAAGGAACCGAACTCCTGCCTGTCATTGTAGGGCAACCTCTCATTAAACTTTGCTAGGGTGTCGCACTACTTGAATCAGAGGGGTAACCGTGTTAGTCTGAATCTGTATAAACAACGAGAAGTCCTGTGGCACCTTACAGACTAACAGATTTATTGGAGCATAAGCTTTTGTGGGCAAAGACCACTTCGTCAGATGCACGTACATCGACAGATCTTGCACTTTTTGGTGTGATGTTCTTCACCCAGGCAGTGAAGGCACGCATCATGTGGGTTGCTGTAGGGCATATGGCGTTTGCAAGCTGTACACGCTTTGAAGTGTGGGGTGTTAGGCATCCTCTGGCACCCGGAGGGGCTAAATGCTTGGGCACTTGCCCACTCTCCTTTTATTTGCTTGAAGATCTTTAATCACAGAGAAAAACAAAGCGAAAACCAGGAGAAACGAGAGCTACCGCAAGAGACTTGCTAAGCAAGAGCTAGCTCCGGTTCAAACGTCGCCACGGATGGTAAGAAGGAACGGAGGGAGGGAAGGGTCGACAGTGGTATATATGCTCTGATATAGAGGTGCCGCTCTAGCAATCTCCACAGCTGACCTTACTGGAGCTGCTAGGGGAAAAATTTCCAATGTTCATGCACACGGCGTATGTACAGCTGAATTGGAATCTACATGAAAAGTCACTCGAAGAAGAACATACTGCTGCAATGCTTGATGAAAACAAGAGTACTGGGAAGTTCCAGCTAATCATCCCTTGTAGTAAGAAGGGACTGAGCAGGGGGTCAGCAGGGCTCTAGATTGGGCCCCACAAAGGCATGACTCCAGGGGGCGCCCTATGGCTAGCTGCTAGTGGAAAATCTTCTGAAAATGATGCATGTTCATGCACACACACCTGACTGGAATGCACATGAACAAGCTCTCAAAGACGACTTACATTTTTTATAAATAATCCCTTTTATACAATATGTGCATCCATGGTGTTAAAGCAATAAATACAGGTTTAACAAAAAAAAGCCCACACATTCACCTGTTTAAACCCTTAAATTTATCATCCCTTAGGGTTTTTGTAAATGGTAAAGTGCACCATAATCATGTGAGAGTATGATTTCTGAAAAGCGCTGTGTTGCTCATTAATTGGTTTGAGTAGACTATGCTGTACACATTAAAAAGTTCTCTAGTGCACTTTAACATAGTGCTGCTTCAGACTATAAATCAACCGCCCAGTGTGCACTGCTTCTCTGTATAGACAAGCAACAAAGCCCAAAGCCCAGGCAGGATCCTTTGAAGATTGAGACATACACAAAAGATTTCAGAGACTCGGTCTCTCTCTTCAAAAAAGTGAGGTGCATTAGACACAAACTCAGTTTTCTGAAGATTTTAAGAGACTTTGGAAGACCAGGCTACACTTGTTGATTTAATGAAAACTTACATTTAATTTCTCTCTCATTCTGGTTGCTGAATGGGATTTACCTTCCTTACAAGAACATAAGAGCTGAAAATGATCATACAATAAATGTCAATTCACAACAAGCAGGTTACCTTGATGCTCCAATGTTTCAAAAGCAGCATAATTTGCATCCTCATAGCATCTTCTCTGACTGAAATTATATGTATACACCTCACCTATACAATTGTATGTCTTCTTTGCTCATGTGTATGCAAATATTAAACTTTTTAACTTTCCAGTAAATCAACTAACATTAGCATATATTTATTTACACAGCAATGTAGTATTTATTTTCATACAATGACAATATTAATTTTAATCAGAAACAGTAAAAATAATTGTACAATGTTTTTACCAGTATTTCTCCCATTGCACAAACAGGTGCGTTAATTTATTTAATTTAATAGCTAATAAATTTCAGCAGCATTCCCATTTTAAAGACAGGCTATCTATTTCAAACCAGAATAAACTTCAAGTGTGACTACTACATAGCTTCAGCACTGTTCAAATATGCCAGTTTTACTGATCTGCTATTTTATTTGCTTATTAATTTGTTTTATTCTTACATTTTATTTGCAATATTTCTTATATGACTTCTAAGATAAGCAGTATTTTACTTCTCATATGGAATACAGTGATGAGAGAATCTTTTCACACCTGTTTATACCTCCCTCCACTTCTTGGACACCCACAACAAAATACAGGAAATAGCTAACAAGATCAAGATCAAGGAAGCTTGATCATCATATGTATATATTAACTTGGGAAAAGTAAAATTTAATCTCCCACTTTTTTTGCTCCAACTCTACACTTTAAATTTAGTTCAAACTAGCTACGCTGCTCCGGGCTGTGGAAGAATTCTTTCATTTACCTACTTACCTCTGCTTGGATGTGTGGCTTATCTCTGTCATTGGAACTACCCCATTCATCCACATAGGAAGTATCTATATTATTGGACTATAATAGCTGCAACTGTTCCATTACAGTGCCTGTAGTCTAGACATGCCCTCCACAGTCCACTCTGATTTGTAATGTCAGGTGCAAAATAAATACTTTGATTACTGAATATTATTGATGAGTTGTCTGGAAATAGTAGCTGCAAACATTTTCAGTTCATGATGCTAGCTAGTTTCTCTACTGATTCCGTAACCACCTGTATTGAATTGCTCTTGTAAACTTCGTTCCTACAGAATACAGTGAATTAAAATGGATACTTCTTCACAACCTCCAACAGCAGAAGGGGGAAAAGAGATATTTTTCTCCTTAACAGTAGATCAACTGTAAAAAAACACATTCTACACACACAAGTCTTGGACACAAATACAGATTGAAAATTTTATTACTTCACCTCTCCTAAAGAATATCACCACTGCAATGCAAGTAACTGATGTTACCGCTGAATCAGAAGAATGCTGACTATTCATGCAATTACAATTCTAACACAGGACTACAGTACCAATTTTTATGAAGATTTATGAAAATTACAAGCATTAGTAGGATGCACTGTCAATAGGAAAAGTAAATAACATTTTCAAATGTCAATAATTGAAGAATAGATTAAAAAGTTAAAAATTGATTCGCGTACCATGTAGGTATAACTTTTTGCTCAGTAAAACCAAGTCCTTTTAACTACACATTATCTTCAGCTTGTCTACATTACAAAGTTCAATCTATATAATTATGTTGCTGAAGGGTGTGAAAAAAATCCACATCCCTATGAATGATGCAGTTAAACCAGCCTAACAATAGGTATACATAGCACTAGGTCGATGGAAGATGCCATCCCATCGGTGTAGATAACATTTTCCACTCAAAAGCTACAGCTGCACCACTTAAGTGTTTTCAGTTTAGGCTACTCCTATTGTAAGGCACATATCACACTGATATCCAAGCTCAACTGGTTACTATCTGGCAAAGGTCAGGGCAGTCAAAAATTAAAGCAAAAATATTACATAAAATGCACTTAAAGAAACATTCAGGTTATAGAAAATCATCACAGATGAAAGGCACTTGACTTCAAGTTCCGGCATAACTTTTATTCAATACCAAATTATATTAAAACTTTAATTATTTTAGAGCTTTTTATTTCTTTAACAAAGTAAAACATGCCTCTATTGTACACAGGCAGAAATTCACACTCCAAAGAGCATACAACCTACTCATTAAAACAATTTGCTTTATGTATCAGGGTGAATTATATAACTTTTTTAGATATGAAACTTACCTAGTGCCATCTGCTTTCCAGCTTACTTTGTAAGGTTTCTGCTCTAAAAGTTTAATATTTTGTTTGTCCATGGAAACAGGCTGTGCTCCAGGGAATCCAGACCTAAAAGAAGCACAATTGTTGTTAATCGTCTACAATGAGTAACATACAAGGTAATGTATTTTCAATCAAATTTTCATACAACAGTTAACACTACCTTTGCTACAAGGTTGACTTTAATTAGAACATCTTCTATAAAAAGATTCTTCTTCTTCTAAGAGGCAGCCAGTTTTTAATAAGCATATAAAGCGTATGTCGGAACTGGTACATATTGTAGGGGAAACTCTAGCCAAACATTTCTCCAGAGCTCAGTTTTATTCTCCCACACCTCACTTCCCTCAGTCCTTTATTCTCAAGCTGAGGTGTCTGCTATGCTTTCTTCCCTAAGTCGATGTCCTGGTGATCTGGCTCACCAGACTCACTCCCACGTTCAGACCCAGCCTTGTCCATATTCACATGGTCCCTTGCCCCAACTTCTGGAGGATGGGGCATGGACAGGGTAAAGGGAGGCCCAGAGTCCAGATGTGATCCCCGGCTTTCCTGGATCTGATCCCCTGGGCTCAGGGCTCCCCTCTCCCCCAGCACTAGGGAGCTTGTGCTGGCACTCCAACCCCTGCTGCACCCCACCCAACTGATATTTCTGTGGGTCAGTAGCCCATGACCAAAAAAAAGTTCCTTCACCCCTGAGCTACAGGTTCACATGCTGCATGCCTCTTATGGGTGACTGCAGAGAATGCTGTTGGTGGCACCTCCTGTAACACAGCAAGTGGTTGGTCACTTATCCGAATAAGGCGGGTCCTCATTGTCCACTCACCCACTTTGCAACCAGACCCATCCCCTCGGGGCTTACCCTGCTCCGCTCCAGCCAGGGTGTGGGGTTGGGGCTTATCCCCTCTTCCCTTCTGTCCTGCTCCTCCCCATTCTTGCCCACTTACACCACGGGGTAATTTTTCAGCTTTTGCCAGGCTGGAAGGGACTTGTTAATTTCACATGACGCTAACAAGATACTTGCAGCTCTAGTGCTGAAGATGGAAAGAGCTGTTGCTCCCAAGGTGGGGACTGTAACACAATGGGTCTCACTGCCTGCTGCTCCTGCTGTTTCCTAGGAAATTAATTTTTCCGCTATGGAGTGCCCCCTTTTGGCTGGTGTCTTGTTCCCCCCAGCAGACACGCGTCCTCCATGGCGAGAAAAGCCGCTCCGCGTCTCCCTGGTCTGCTGGGGGAGGGGGAACGCTAGCTCCGCGTCTCCCTGGTCTGCTGGGGGGAAGCGCCCCCCACGCCACCGAAGGCGGCGACAGTGGGGGAGGCACCCCGCACTAGCTGTCCCCCCCCCGCCGTTCGTAACTAGGGATCTAACATAAGTCGGACTGACTTAACCCGGGGACTTCCTGTATAACAAATGATAGTAACCTATATTACACAAGAGTTCAAAACTGTAAGTGGTTTGCTTTGTTTGTTTGAACTTACTCCTAAACAGTTAGCACCTGCAAACTGAGTGGTACAGGGAGTATTCCATGAGTCTTTAACTTCTGGAAACTGAACTTCAAATTCTGGAATATATTCAGAAATGGAACTAAACCAATTTTCTTATCAATGCTAGGTACAAATTCTAAACAGCAATGACTGGTTTAGAAAGGCTAAGAAACAGAAAGACTAAGATTTTGCACATTAGAAAAGAAGCATATTGACAATTATATACCCAGAATATTTAAGTATTTTGCCATGTTCTTTAGTTTAATGTGCACTAAAACTCACCCAAAACTTTAGAAATAATAATTATACCAGACTACTGCATTTGTAATTTGTGTAGCAATGGCTAACATGAACACAATTTATGATCTGACCCTGGAAATATGATTGAAATCTGATTTCTGAAATTGTAACAGATGATCACTTTTTTCCCCTCTGTTGGCTATTATAGCCTTACTGTTGTATATTTCTATTTTTTTAAATAATCTGTCCTAATAAATAGCTGCTTGCTTGACTTTTCATAAAAGTAAGAATGTAATATTAAACTTTTAAGATTATTCAAACAAGAAAGTTAAAATTAAAATTATTTTCCCATACCCTTCCCATCCACAAAATTGCTGACATTTTTGCTGTATCTCTCTTAACTTTGGTTGAGTTGTCACTTGGGTTACACGTTTAACTGTCACACCTTCCAAGAAAATTGCACCCTAAAAAAAAGAGCACAAACACATTTAGAATTTAAGCTATATGACAAAAGCAGTTCAGAAAACTTGGACATTTTCATATCCAAGTTTTGTGTATTTCATACACATAGCGAGTCTAGAAGTCTCTGATTTAAAATTACTGATGATATTTAAGGTTGCTGAACTCAATTTTCATTGAGGTCTTATTGATCCTACTTCTAAAATACACCAAAATATTCTCACTGGTCTCAAAATGGTTAAATTAGTCCTGGGGTTGCGGTAGAGTTCTTCTAGAAAAACCTGAAATCCGAAAAGGTGTTTAACAACTAAAATTTACACTATTACACAGTTTCAAGGTTTTTTGTTTGGTTGGTTTTCTGCCACTTTATAGCAAAAACACAGAAAAATGAAAACAGATTAAGCCTATCTTACTGCACTCTTCCAGCAGAGATCTAGTGCCCAGGAACAAAAGGCAGTTAGCTAAGTCAAATTAACAAAGATATTAATTATGTATTGCAGCCCAAAGAGCTAGCTTTTCATTTTATTTTTCTTAGTAGGTAAAGAACCTACAAGCCTATATCCTGTAAGGCATTAGCTTAAGCAGTTAGCATAAGGCTTTGAGGCTTGTGAACCTTAGCATTGATTAGGACTGACAGGCATCTGGTTTTGGACCAGAACACCCCATCGAAAAGGGACTCTGGAAGCTCCTGTCAGCACTGCCAACTGGACTGTTAATCTGGCAGTTCTGCGGGACTAAGGCAGACTAGTCCCTACCTGCCCTTTCTCCACACTGGCCCCTGTAAGCAGCCAGCAGATCTGGCTCCTAGACAGGGAAGGCCAGCTGCTCCACAAACTGTCTTTGTCCGGAGCACTAGCACTGCACACCCATTGGTTGGGAACCATGGACAACATAAGCTACAGGGGCAGTGCCTGTGGGTAAAAATAGCACTGTAGCCTCTGTCTTCTCTCCCTCCTCCCCCACCTAAGAGCCAAATTTGCTGGCCATTACCAGGGCATAGAATGCAGCAAAGAGACAGGGAATCTGTCTTACCCCATTGAGCTGCTGACTGGGAGCAGCCCGACTTAAGCCCACACTACAACTGCAAACTGCAACGCACTGCCCCAGGCTTGAGCTATCCCCAAACCCCTCATTCTTGAACCCCAGCCCAGAGCCTGCACTCCCAGCTGGACTCCCTCTGCCACAGCCCAACCTCCTGCCACAAAATGAATGAGGGTGGAGCGCAGCAAGCCACCGTGGGAGGGTGAATATAGTGAGAGGGAATAGGGCCTCATTGTAGGGACAGAACTAGGGTGCTCAGTTGTGTGCAAACAGCAAGTTAGCAATCCCAGCGCAGATAAGTGGCCCAACAGTGAGTTTGGGAACAGTATGCTTAAGGGAGGAGTTCATACAAAATGATACAGAGACATTGAACTGATACTAGTTTGGGATATTTTAGGATAAAATGTTAGCAAATGCTTAACTGCAAACTTGCCTTGATGACAAACTGATGTTTATGGTGATAAACTAAAATCATGAATATACCAACCAATAGGATAAAATATCTTAACGTCGTTAGAGTGAAAAAGTGTTAGGGTAGACAAGGCAGGCTTCACATTTAGATGAATATTCCTCTAGACCAGAGATACTCAACACGTAGCCCACGGGCCACATGAGGCCCACGGCCTGTTTGTTCGCGGCCTGTAGTGCGGTTTGGGTTTATGCGGGGCTCCATACGCGGCACACAGATGGAATCCTTTGAACATGGATTCCACAGGGAACACGCTCCACAATGGCGAGTCAATATAATGGCCTTCAGTTATTATGCGTTTTAGTAGTTAAATTCCTGGGCTGTCATTACTCATTAAAAGTGCTGTCATATGGGTGGAAATCAGGTAAATATTGCATTGTATTAATATCAACAGAACTGACTTAAATAAGGCCTGCGTGTTGTGTAGTTTTGCCTTAATCTTTGTATTCATGCCCATCTGTGTGAAAGAAGCTATCTGCATATATATTTGCATGTATATGCAACCACACTTAAGTTGTGGCCCTCAGCATGTGCTGTGAGTATCACTGTGGTCCCCAGGGCTTCCAAAGTTGAGTAACCCTGCTCTAGGCCCTGTAATAGGTCAGGCCACCATATAAGGGGGGTCGATTGATCTTAATCTGGACCATCAGACTTGTTTGGTATGGTAGGGAAAAAGCTGGACGTTCGCCTCTTACTATC